CGGCGGGAGTGGCGAGAACGAGATCGGGACCGAGACGCCTGTCGACTATGTGGCCGACTGTCTGGTCGTGATGCTCCGCGATGAAGCATAGGTGGTGATGCCCCCCTTTCCTGGAAATTGTTGGTCGATGTCTGTCTGCGAACGTTCCGAGAGCTGTAGTATCCAGAATCCTGGAGTCCCGCGTCTTCAAATCGCCTTGATGGGCCGGCGTCTTGAGACTCGTCCAAGGACAAGAGGAGCGTCTGGCCCGGATCGGAATCAGTGCGTTCTGGTCTTTGGTGACGATAGCGATCCGTCGGTCTCGAGTCCTCCCTAGATCTCCGATTATGCGGTGAGGCGGCATTATAGCCGGGAAGCGAGTCAACCTTGTGCCTCTTGTGACGATGATCCGCCCATTCGCCACCTTCTGGGACGGCCCTGGCTCGAGGGTTCTTGTATGTTGAATCGTCCAAAGTCCGCTTTCGATTATTGACCAGACGGTATTCACGGTTCTCTGGAGTAGGAGGTTTCGGAGGGAGAGACGGAAAACCTGGAAGGCGACTGGACTTGAACGTGGTGGGCCTCTCTCGTGGCTCAGGGGGTTGTTGAGGAGCACTTCCCTCAGGGCACTTCCAGAATGCTGGATCGTACTGCAACGTGACGAAGAACTCGGTTTCTCGTATCGGCCGCGAAAATTCCATGAGATTGCCTTCTGTTGCAAATCGAGACTGAATCCAAGTGGCGTTCCACGCCGGAGGCAACACAATATTATCGTGGTATTCCTCAGGCCCTGGTAACGGCTTAGCAATTGGGTCTGGCTGGTGGGTTTTCTCTAGTTCTTTGAAGATCATCTCTTCTTCCCAGTCCCAATCGTACTCTTCATCAGCTTCCTGTTCTGAAGCACTGTTGATGTTTACGCTTTTAGGTGTGTCGCTCGCGACTGATGGCGCCTCGACGGCCTTTGATACGGCTTCGAGCTGTGGCAGTGTTGGCACTGGTCTGGCTTTATTTTCCGACTTTGGTCTAGGCTGCGAAGGATCTCGTTTCGACTGATTGCCTTGTTTATTTCGGCGAGAACGATCTCGATTATTATGCCCTTGGCGATGTCGCCCATTTCGGTCTCTTGGCGGCTGGTTCCTCTGAGGAGGAATTGGCGGGAGCCCCGGTGGTGTAGCACGTGGAGGGCCAGGCAAAGGAGGCGGGTGACCATATCCTGGAGGTGGCGGCGCCCATGAGGGAGGGTAAGTATTCGGTGTTGGGGGCGGTTGAGACCCATAGTGCGGCTGAGGATAGCCTCCCGGAGGTGTGGAATTATATGAGGGCGGGTACTGGCCGCCTGAAGGTGGAGGACCGGAATGATATCCAGGCCCAGAAGAGTAAGATGGAGGAGGAGGAGGAGGGTAAGGAGCACTGCCAGCGTATTGTGGTGGTGGTTGGTAAGGAGGAGGCGGCAGTCCAGACGGACCGGGAGGCGGAGGCGCGCCATACTGGCCAGATGGTGGATAATGGTATGGTGCAGGAGGAGCGGGAGGTGGTGGGTGGGCACCCGGGGGAGGCGGCGGCGGCGGGGAGTATTGGGGATAGCCGGGGTAGTTCCCTGTTGGCGGGGGAGGGTAGCCATTCGGAGGTGGAGGATATGAAGGATATGAAGGCAGGGGGCCGGGGTACGGAGGAGCATGGGGTTGACCCGGGGGCGGAGCGTAGCGAGTGACGATCGGATTGCCGCTTGGTGGGGCCGAGTACTTGGTCACAACAGCACCCGGCCGGCGTCCGCCGGGTTGATATTCACCACCCCGGCTATGATGATCATGGCCACTCGAAATATTTTTCCGGGACAGTCCACTTTGGTCGAGTCAGCCATGATTCAAACTTGAAGCAAGGGACAGTTGTTGTCACGTCCGACAAGACTCTGCATCACGAAACTTACGCGGGCTTCGCTCTGACAGGTTCCGGGCAAGCCACAGCCCAATGGCCAACACCGCCACAATTGATGCAGCTTGGCTCTTTCATGGACGGCCCCATTCCTGGGGCGTGGTCGGCCATGGTTGATGATGGTCGTGTCTTGGCTCTTGGATCGACGTACAGCTTTGGCCCAAGCCCAAGCCCGGAAGGGGAGATCAATGAGGGTGTAGGGAGTGTTACCGTAACCAAGGTAACGAGAAACTGGATAGCATCTATGAGCTGGGAGTGGCCCGGTAAGAAAACAAGAAGTAGAGAAGGGTGAAAGTATCCGTATACTAGTAGCAGAAATGATTCGGATGAGGTTGCCAACACGAGCTGGATAAGAGAAGACTTGATATATCAGAAGGTGCTCGGCAAAGAAGGAGAAGGAGAGTCAGAGACGCAAACCTTGGTGTTCGGGCTGCGCTTACAGCAGGTGAAGGAGATGCTTGATAATGGGCGAACCCAGAACAGGTAGTGGCGGATATGAGATGGTCTCTTGATTTGACTGAGACACGAGATGGCAGGCAGTCTATTGATCAAGGTGACGATGCCTCGAAGCCTTCAAAGGTCTCTAGTGAATGCGCCTAGGCAGTCTGGAGTGGCGCATCGCCTGCTGATGGCCGAAGTATGGAGGGAAAGGTGAGATGGGTTGGTAATGAAAGCCGTAGTCCAACCTCCAAAGTGAGGGATTTTGATGGCGAGGCCCGAACCAGGCGACTATCGTGGGCTTTGTCTCATTCCAGAGAGGGCAACTGGGATGAGGTTGTGGGAAAGCGCGACGAAGTTGACCAAAGGACGGAGGTTGCGCGCCCAGGCTCAGGCGTAAAGTGGGGCAAATGCACCTGCCCAGTGAGGCACAGCTGAACACCCACGGCAACTCCTTCCGCGCAGAAGGCTGAAAGGAGCCGGAAATTCATCGGGCCGGATGGGGCATGCTTTCTTTTTTTCGCAAGGCAGGCGCCTCGGGGCAGGACAGGACAGCAGGAGACACGGTCCAGCCAGGCTTAGACTCGAGAACATTGGGAAGAGGCAGTAAGTAGCTGACAGACAATGCAGCTTGATTTGCTGCATGTCGTACGGATGCATGCCTTGTGCCTTGAGGGGGGCAGACTTCGACGTGCAGCCTGCAGCATCAAAGAACACACTGTTGGTATGTCATGCATAAGTAGTGAAGCAAATAAGCACTGTCTTTGTGCATCCAGATCATCTGAGAAACTAGGATCTAGAGGGGCAATATCTGACTGCATGACAAATCTCATGGGACATCTGGGACTGGTTTTGTCTTCAAGTCTCGAGGTTGTCATGAGCCAGATGTTGAGGAGCTCGCATCTGCTGTCATTGGGCTAGATTGGCAGACTATGATGCTATGCCACGCTCAAGGGCAATTTGGAGCTGTTCGAGCGAGGCTTGAAAAGGTAGAGATACGAATACCTCAACTGGGACCATCTAGATGCTGTTCCATCGCGCATACGGAGGCGCAGGGCATCTGAGTTCAACCAGGAGCAAGATGAAACGGTCAAGACAAAAAATGAAAGAAAGGCTAGGTATTCTAGATTCAAACGGAGACCAAGGTAGATAGACGGGCGCGACATCCAAGAAGACCAGCTGGCAGACCAGAGAGATATCGGTGCCTGAGAACTTGAGGGAAAACCAAGGTGAAGGGAGAGTGTGGCTGCTTTTCTATGACGATCCGGATATCAGGTGCTGTTTGAACCCTGGAGACGGTGAGGAATTGATCTGAACGGACGGGGTCGGCAGCCCAGCATCTCTCAGTGTGTGAATGATAGACGCGTCTGAAAACAACCAAGGAAATAAAGTATCGAACTACAGTCCACTGCCGGGGCTCGCAATAGCAACCAAGATTCTGTTGTCTCTCTGGAAATCGCAGACCCAAAGCTGCCGCTGGCGGGAAGAAATGACAATGAACGGGGAAGCTCGTCGGGCCGGTGAAAATGGGACGAGTACCATCAGAATGGTAGTGCAGGTGATTGGTACAGACGCAACTGCGTGAGGTGAGGAAAAGAAAAGGACGCACCCGGCATGTCAAACCTGACGGAGGGGTGGGAAGGTGACTTTATATGAGCCCAGGGCAGCCGTTGATGGACGCGCCCCCCCCCTGCTGACCTGGCAAGTCTGGGGCTTCCTTGGCCAGTAGTGGCCCTCCTGCCCATTTATCACCTTGCGCCGTGGTGCAGTCCCAGCGCTTCTGCGGCGTTTTTGCTAAGGTAGGGGCTTGTAGCGAACAAGAACCCCCTAAATTATTGATGTGTACGTAAGCGCCTTGAGCCTGCCGTGTCTGCCAACTGCCAGGTTTGAATGCGGGGCCGTAGCATGTGACCAAGCCCAATCACATCCCGTCCTCCATGTCACTCTGCCTTAGGTAAGCACGCGGTCAGGTACGTGAGCAGGTGAAGTGTCTGATGTTTGGATGGGATTTCTCAGCCGGGCCCGAGCTTGTCCCCCGGCTGCTTCCAATTTGAGATGGGCGTCGTCTGTCCATTGCTGCATGACGTCCCTCGCTGCCCGCCGTAAGAGCTACCACCCATACCATTCCAGAAAAGAATGTTCAACTGCGACTGAAGAATAAGGTCCCTTACCTTACCTTGCCTTAGGTAGCTTACCTCACCACGCTCTCTTTCCGAGGGCATCGCCACGGCTTCCCTTCGTTCTCTTCCTCTCTTGTGCCATGAGCGACTGGGTATCTTGAGCCACCAGTCCTTTTTGACGACTCAAAGCCCACCCAACACAGGCGTGCACTATTTACCCCCCCCCCCCCTTCTCCCCCATCTTTCGTCGATTCAGCCTGCGCTTCAACTCGTCCACTTTGTCCATTCTGCCGCCGCGCGCTTCCAGCTCGCATGTAAAGACACGTCGTCCTCGATCATGTTACTACAACCACGAAGCTCCCCAATACACATCGCCCGCCTCTTGAGTAGAAGTGGTCTCCGACGACCTGCTTCTTGAACCGCCGACCTTTGCGACAACCCTTCGCTGTAGTCCTGCTACACCTTTTCCACCCCAAAATCAACTAGATACCACCGGCCTCACAGCTGCTGTCGCATAACACTACGTGAAAGATGCCCGGGCTCCCAGGTAGGAATGGCTCTTGTCCCCCAGGTTGTGCAGTTTCCCTGACCACGATGTGCTGCTACAGCTTCCGTCGACCTCGACGAGTGCATCTCGCGCTTATATAAGAGGGAACTTCTCGCCGAATCCGTCATCGAGGCCATTTGCGCCAAAACGAAAGAGCTGCTGATGCGCGAGAGCAACGTCGTTCACGTTCGCGCCCCCGTCACCGTCGTCGGCGATATCCATGGTCAATTCTACGACCTGATCGAGATCTTCAAGATTGGTGGCTGGTGTCCAGACACCAACTACTTGTTTCTGGGTACGCTTTGGATCAAAAGTTGGTAATACAAAGCCCGACTGACTGGCTGCCCAACAGGAGACTACGTCGACCGCGGTATGTTCAGTGTCGAAACGATATCTTTGCTTGTGTGCTTGAAACTTCGATACCCCAATCGCGTGCATTTGATTCGAGGCAACCATGAGTCTCGCGGCGTCACCCAGTCCTATGGTTTCTATACCGAATGTTCAAGAAAATACGGAAACGCCAACGTATGGCACTACTTTACCGACATGTTCGACTTTCTGACTTTGAGCGTGGTCATCAACGACAAGATCTTCTGCGTCCACGGCGGTAAGACAGCCTACATCTCTACGCGCGCGCCTACGCCGTTACCTACCCGTATCGACAGTTTGCTAATTTGTATGCTCCAGGCCTCTCCCCATCCATTCACTCCATCGACCAAATCGTAATCATCGACCGTTTCCGCGAGATTCCTCACGAAGGCCCCATGGCCGACCTAGTCTGGTCTGATCCCGATCCCGAGCGCGACGAGTTCTCTCTCAGTCCACGTGGAGCTGGCTATACCTTTGGCGCACAAGTGGTCAAGAAATTCTTGGCTGTAAACAATATGGACCACATTCTGAGAGCACACCAGCTATGCCAGGAGGGCTTCCAAGTTCTATACGACGATCGCTTGAGTACAGTATGGAGTGCGCCTAACTACTGCTACCGATGTGGAAATATGGCTAGTGTTCTGGAGGTCAGCGATACCGGCGAGAGGTTTTTCAACGTCTTTGCTGCAGCACCAGAGAATGACCAGCATAAAGACATGCAGCTGGGTGGTGGAGAGAAGCAGGCAGATGGCAACTCCCTTCCCGATTACTTTCTGTAACGCGGCTGGGGTCTGCATTCGATGCCTAGACGATATTAGAAGGGGATGATTTATACAAGAGCAAGAAAATGGTGTGTGGTCTGAGCCTCGATTCAGGTGCATCACCGAGCTGTCCTTATGAAAGGTCATTATCACAATGGCGAGGTGGACGAGACCACCACGATTAGAGTACATTGAAAAGGTGTCACGTCTTACGCCTTACGCCACGGGACGATCCATAGACGAACATCTGATGAGGATCCAAAGGGATCTGTATTTTTTGTAGCTTGGGCACAAGAGATGATGGCCCAGCAGAGCGAAAAAAGTATCTGCCATCTAAACCGTCCAATTTTTGTTTTGTTTTTTGTAATCGTGACTTCATGTGCAATAACCAGTGTATGAGGTTAAGAGCAAAATTTGTGTGAGTGTGTGTTGTTGTATAGCAAGAGAACAAAAAGGGAATTTCCATCGGCCTCGCCCATCACCCATGTTTCCTGCGTGTTGGCCGCGACCTAGTTTGACCTTCTTGAATTCTCTTCGTGTTGGGAGTGAGCGAGTGAGATGTTGGTCCTGCATGCCTGCCTCGAGTTCCACCACATATGTCCTCCTACCCGCGATCGAGTTCGATTCTGCCGATGCATGCGTTCTCCTTCCGGGAAAGGGATCGAACTCGGAAGACGAAGTTGTAAGACGAGAGAGACAGGACAGCTTTTCGGGTCGATGAGGATGAGGATGACAGGGCGAGAGTGTAATTCAACCATCGGGGCCTCGTCCACTCTACCAGTCCTTAGCGATGTCGAAAGACCACTCAAAGGTCAAGTGAGTCTTCTTGTCATCATCGACGAAGCTGGAGATGGCGTTGTAGTGGCCTCTGGCGAGCATGCCGGAGGGAGCGTCCTCCTCTTGGACTGTGCAAAGGGTCAGTATTACCACATCAACCGACACTGATTCAGGCGCGAAACTTACAGCGCTTGGTGTAAGTGGTCTGCTTGTCGGTGTTGGGAGCGTAGCTGCCCTAGAGATAACGGTCAGCATCACTGTGATGAGATGAAAGTGAGGGGAGGGAAGACTTACCAGCATCTCAGAGTCCTTGCTGACCTTGATTCCCTTGCGCTTGACGACCTGGACGTACTGCAGACCGCTGAGAATCTCGTGCTGGACCTTGAACTTGGCAACCATGGTGAACTTGGCGCCCTCCTTGATCTTGAAGGGCTTGTCCTTGAGGGTCGCCTCAGAGCCAGGAGCAGCCAGGTCAATGGTGACGGGGTCGCGACCGGGAGACTCCATGGTCAGGGAGAGGATGATGCAGACACGGGGGTCGGAAGCGTCAGAGAGGTCCTTGCCGCCGCCAAGGCCGAGAGACTCCTTGTAGCGCTGGAGAGACTCATCGTTCTCGTCTGTGGTGCTGTTAGTCGGCCGGTCGTCTCTCATCTCGTATTGTTCCAGGTCCAAGGGCTCAAGAACAGCCAGACCATGTGCTGCCCTAACGACAAGGGGAGACATATAAAAGTCCCGAATCAGATTGAGATCTTGGGTGAGCATGTTTTCTTGGAGGCGGGGTGAGTTGGGAGGATTGGGAGGAACAGGGTGTGATAGAGCTCTTGCTCGGTGAAGGTGTCTCTCCTCCATCATCTTAAATGACTGAGGACGCGATCCCGAGGGAGTCGAGAGAGGAACAGGGGGAACCTCAATGGAGTTCCGGTTGGCGAGGGCGTTATTACGGTTGCGCCTCTGCATCCTGCGACGCATACCCTTATATAACGCCTCCATGGTAATGAGAGGGTATTACATGTGAGGTAACTGTGGTATTGATATCGTAGTGGTAATAAGGAGAAAGTGAAAAGTGAGATTGGTGATGGCAACGGTGATGGTGATCATGAAAAAAGTGGTTGAAAGACAGCAAGGGTGAAGGTGAAGGTGAGTGAAGTGCGAGAGTGAGTGTGAGAATGGGTGTGGGCGTGGGTGAGGAAGGTGCAAGCAGCTGGGTGCCTTCCCTCTCCTGCTGGCTCTTTGGTGAACTGTGCCATGAGATGGATGTCGAGCATGCCACCTCCTGTCACCGAGGTGAGTGCAGAGATAAAGGAGGCTCACATCTTGCACACACCGATCCCAAGGCAAGGTGAAGAAAGGTGTGAGGGGCATTTCTGAAGGGACCCAGCTGGAGCTGTCTCGCCCCCAAACAGCAGCACCCAGAACTGAAAGAAACCAAATGGGGATTAAGAATCAATACAGAGTCAAAGACTTACCCATCTTCTGGTACTCAGCCAGACTCTGCTTGGGCTGGGAGAGCTTGTAGCCCTGAGTCTCCTCGGGCATGGTGTCCTCTTGCTCGTGGGAAGCCATGGTGATGATGGTGATGGTGGGGTAAATGTGGGAGCTGGAGCTGGAGCTGGAGCTGAAGCTTGAGCTGTGGAGGCTTGGTTTGGGAGCGGGTGTATCGGAGGCTATGGGAGGAAAGTAGCACAGGTGTGTGATGATGCCGTAAATTGGAAGGCTGTGACAATGTTTACTCTGGAGGAGAGAAGTTGAGGATCAGGTAAGGTAGGATGGTAGTAAGGTCAGGGCGAATGGAGTTGAGGTAAGGCCATGGCCTTGTCCCCGGCCAGTCAAGGCGAGGCAAGCCGCAAAGCAACAGCGCACGGCAAAGGTCACCGCTTCCCGTTGCCCCTCATTCTGCTCAGGTCGGGCTGGGTCTGGGAGTCTGGGTCTGCCTTCTTCCCAGCCAGTGCCAGCCAAAAATCGACGAGGCAGGGGGGGGGGGGGGGGGCATTGGGGGGAAGCGTCACCGCGTCAGGGCCAGTTGGGGGACTGTGGGCGCTGTAAAGTGGGCTCTGATGGATTCAGGACCGGCCTTGACTGGACGGGACGAGAGACTTCATTGGTCGAATTATCTTCGGGTCTGGACCTGCATTGATTGGCCAACATCTGGAACAAGATGGAACTACACACACGAAACCAGGCACAATCACCAAAGCCCTCCTACCATCCTATGTATCTCCTCCCCTTGCAATTACGAAGTCAGAGCAAAGGCAACTGTGCTGACTGATGAGGCTGCTTTTCGATAGCTTTGATGAGGAAACAAAGATCAAAAGATCCAACCTCGACGACTATCATGCCGTGCGACCTTACCGTACCACATTGCCCAAGCCAAGTACCCCGGGCAGGAGAGCCAAGTAGCTGTGTAGGTACTTAGATACCCAGATACAAATACCTACCATAGTAGGTTGCTATGCAGCTTTCTGCCCCTCCAAGTGTCTTCTGCAGCCAATCTCGATACGGGATGGGAGGATAAGAGGAGAGCAATCCATTCATATCAACCACGATATTGCGCGTATCGGCTGGATGAGCGGTCTGGAGTGGTTCCTGATGAGGGGCACAATCGACAAGCTTCAGGAATCCGGTACTCCCCACTGCTCGAGACGGGAGACCGCGAATAAAGTACAGAATGAACATCCGCTTACTTCATCCCGCGCCCCTTTGCTTGAATACCTTGGCACTCAGGTAAGCACTCGCACCACCCAATGTGAGAATATCGTCTAGTAAGTCCGCGCTTGACAGGTGGCAGATGCTTCATGCGGGCCATCCATGAAAATGAGCTATCCGCACTACGTAGTGCGCCAGTGTTGAAGAGCTTTCTTGCTGGCAGCGGCATCGTTGCCGGAGGCCAGAGCTTCTCTTTAGTGGATCTTGTCGCTGGTTTGCATTATTATGACCCAAGGGATTTATGCACAGAAGAGCGTGCATTTATGCAGTATCCACATAACAGCTTATGTAATGTGTACCAAGACTAAGCCGATCCCATCAGCATTCAGGCCATCTTAAAGAGCAGGAAGCATCACCCATTTCCAAGTACCAGCTTGTCACGGTTGCGCAGTTCTAAATAGGTAGTTTCTGGCCGGTAAGCCATCCAAAATCCCAGCAACAAGAACGCCGTGTACCATATCAGCAAGCCTGGCACTGTCGTTGCTCTGGCAGCAGTGTCCTATTGTACTTGGTTCCTGGATCCGTCTTTCTTGCTGTTCAGCCTAGGCGAGATGAGGAACTCTAGAGGCTGACCATCGGCCTCATCTGTCTTAGGCACCTAGCGACAGAAAAGATGGACCTCCTATTGTGTCAACCAAACCCAAGACTTCCATGAGCGAGCACTCTTCCCTTATCGATTAGACTGCAGCTGCTGCAGCTAATACTGTACTGTGTAGGTAGATACTGCAATGCACGGGATGGGGGAAACGTGGTCGAATGATGGGCTGAAGGCGGGATAGCTGCAGTTCGCCCGTTGCTAGGCACAATCGTAGCCGGGTAAGGGCCCTCCGCGCTGCTTGTTCTGGTGCTGCCGCCGCTTTCAATCTCGGTGCAAGGAAAGGATGTCGACCAAGTTGAAAGGGTTGATATCCATGCATGGCATGCTGGAGAAGTACGGACACAGTACGGAGTACTCAGTACTCCATACCTTGGTGAAATGGGAGAAGAGACACTGGACCCTCTCGAGCTTGAAGAACCTAGAATCCTGTGGCCTGTGGCTCGTTTGTCTCCGCTTGGCTGGAGACTGCGAACGGCGCCCAAGGTGTCCAAAGCTCTGCGCGTTCGCGACGAAAATTGTTGGGGACAGACCGGGGGGGGCAGACTGAAGAGCTTCTCTGAGGAAACGTGTGCTCAGTGGGACAGAAAAGTGTCAAAATCTCAACTTTCTCTCGGCTTGGCTTAAGAAGCGACATGGGTCACGCAACGGGTAAAGGCAAAGAAGGAAGGGACCGTCGCATCGATAATCTTCCTTCCCTCCTTCCTCAGGAGTCAGGGACTTTTCTTCCGACCTTGCGCAGCTGGCAGGATGTATCTATCCGTTCTAACTGCATTTCCGGGGAAAGCGCCGGGAGTGCTGGTCGTCAAATGCGGCAAGTGGCAGTCGCGATAGACAGGTACATCTCTTCCAGTGTTATAGTATTGATTAACAGAGGTATTCATCTATGTCGCATACTTCGTTCCAATAGTGCCTTTTACGTGCTCTTCGACCTTCAGGCTTC